TATAAAAACCCTGCTTTTTCCCCCAAGGCAGAGTAGACTTCCCTTATTCACTTTTAGTTTCTTATTATTTATAGATTATTTTTTAATAAATAGACTATCTCTTCTCCTCTTTTAATTTTTTGTTATTTATAGTTTATTTTTTTAGAAGTGTAGCTATCGCCTACCTTCTTTTTATTGTATTTAATAAAGCTTTTATTGAGTTTTTATTGTGTATTTATTTTTGGTATATTGAGTTGAGCCATCACCTCTTTTCCCTTTTCTTGAGTATTTTATTGTGTTTTAGAATTAGAGCTATTGTCTCTTTTTTTTATTTTTAGTTTATTGTTTTACTTTAAAGTTTCTTTTAGTTTTCTTTCTTATTTTATTCTTTTCTTGTTTACAAACACATTCCTTAACTCTCTTACATGTTAAGTTAAGTAGTATAGCTTTACTAAGACCCTGTATTGCTATATTATAATAAGGTATAGTGATTTAATATAGTGGTGAAGTTGTCGCACCCTCAAGTGGCAGTGATCAGAGTTCAAATCCCATTGATGGCAAAAAATTTGAATTCCAGAATGTGTTACAGCAGACTGTAAGTGTAATTGGACAGATTGATATCTGTAATCTGGTCGTATTAGTTGTACTGGGAGGCTGTGGAACATAGTGTAATATACAAGTTATATAAAACTTAAATAAAACAGCTGTATAAATTCAGAGTCAGCACATATAGGAGCCTACTTGGCAAGATCTAAGTAGAAAGATAGCACAGATCTTTGACAGTACTATGTAAAAGATTATCAATCAAAAAACCAAAAAACTGAACAGAACCAAAGTATTTGGCAAGGTACTCTATCAACCTGGCCACCAGAGAGTAACTGGAGGAAAAAAACCTAACTGCGGGGACCAAGGGCAGGTCACAGCCCTTTCAGGCCATCTGGATTGAAAGTTTGAGATGACAGATGTACGAGAATTAGTCTGTATAGTTTATGCTGAGGTTTGGATGAACTCTATAAGGGCAGTAGTAGATAACAATAGTGGCTTCAACTGCAAGTACTTGTTCTCAGACTCGATATAAGTTACTGAAAGTTTAGATCAGCCAGATTTGTGAGTACAGAAGGCTCTAGCAAGTTTACTTCAAGGATAAAGGGTTCAATAGGAACCTGCTTTAAAGTTCTAAGTTAAGTGTCTAAAATAAGAGAGTACTTTGTATCTTCACTCGATTAGATGATTAATGTATATAGCTGCAGAGAGTTTAAATAGTTGACTTGGTAGGGTTATAGATACGCCAACTAGTATAGAACCTTTGGGTGTTTACTTAAATAGGCAATTAAAAGTTGTATATGTAGCTAGTTGTATTCTCCAAATATATGTATGGTTTGGTATATCATACTGTAAAAGTTAACAATAATCGAATAAAAGGAGATGACCAAGAGGTCACCTTAATATCAAAAAAAAAATAATAAATAAAAATAATAATAATAATTTAGATTGATGTAAGAAGTTAGAAGGTTACGAGCACAAGTAGAGGCATTAGGAAAAGAAGTAGTAGTGTTAAAAAGAGAGGTGATAGTTTTAAGAAAAGAAGTAAAGGATTTGGAAAGACAGATAGAAGAGTTAGAAGAAACTGTAGAAAATGCTAAATTTTGTATTAGAGCAGTTTAGGCAGGAAACTGGGAAAGAAACATTCAGTATGCAAATTTGGTGGCAGAGCAGGATGCTTTAAGAGCTAAGATGAAGGACTTGAGAGATTTAATTGAGAACATTTCAGTTTCAAATTAATTTTTTTTTTTTTTTTTTTTTAAATAAAATTTTAATTGTTTAGTTCTTTAATAAGTTTTTGTGTTATTTTGTTACTGTTTCACATTCAACTTTATTTGTTTTGAATGGCAAAGTTGTCCATAGGGCTCATATTCCCTAAATGTGAAAAGTAATATTGATTTTATATTCAACTTTAATCAAATTTTGAATGGCAAAGTTGTAGTTAAGGCTTATATTCCTTAAATATGAATCTAACTTATCCAAAGTTAAGTAGCAAAGTTGTCTATAGGGCTCATATTCTCTAAATATAAAATATAATTCCTGAAGTTTAAATGCATTCTTAATAATATTCTTTTGTTTTTTCTAATTACTAAAATTCTCCTAAAAATAACAAATAAGAAAAGTGAATAGAGCTCTAACCATTACTCTAAACTGTCCTAGACACCATATTATACTAGACTTATAAGAAAATATGAATATAATAATAAAATATATATATATTTTTTTTTTAATATATTTTTTTATAATTTCTCTTTTTTTTTTTTAATAATCAAAATGTTAATAATTAATAAAGAATAAATAAATGATAAAAAATAACAAATAAAAAATAATAAATAATAATGATTTAATAAATTAAATTTTTAGAATCTTCTGTTTCTAATTCACCAATTATCAATGTATTAATAAAACTCGATTTATATAGTTGATATAGTTCAAATTTTTGATATACTGTGTGGATTTAAGTAGCTTGCTTTCACACTCAACAAGATTTGGTTTTTTTAAAGAAGTGAGTTAACTGAGTTTGTATATATCAAGCTATTTGTTTATTGCTTCTATTTCTTTCTTTTATAATAGAGAGCTTCTAATCTTTGAATTCATTTATTTTTCTTTTTTCTAAAGACTTTAACTTTTGTAATTATTTTATTAAAGATTTGAATATCATTAGAGCCTTAGTAAGGAGAATTTAATTGAACTCAATCCTCTATTTCATATTTCAAATCTCATTTAATTTGTTCGATTTGAAAGTTATTATTCTTTTTATAGGACTTTGGTGATTACTATTTTCTTCTAAAGGGTCTTATATTATTTCAACATTTTCTTAAATATTTGGTGTATTGATGGGTTCAAATGTTTGGAAAATTGTATCTTATTCTTCACTATTGATGAATGCCTTATGTTGATTATCATATTCAACCATATTTTCTGTTGGCTATTGAATAATATCATCAAATTAGGCTTGTTGTTTTAGTCTATTTTCGTCAGTAATAGAAATAGATTGATTAGATATTTCTATAACATTGTTTATAATATTATTATTTTTTTAAATTTTCAAGAATTGTTTTAGAGCTTGAACTCCTTCAAGTAGTAGTTGATCGAAAAAATTATTAATAACTTGAGTTTCTATTGTTTAATTTGAGTAGTTGTTGTATGAATAAAAGTTTATGATAAAATGTATAAAATTTTTAAAAATTGAAATTTTAAAAGAGTTTAGGAGAATAGAGAGTAGTTATATAGTTTTTAGTATTGTACAATTTACTTTTCATGTAAAATTATTTGTTATTATTTGTTTGTATTACTATAATTTGTGGAATAGATAATTGAGAAAGATCTCTTTCAAAGTATAGTTTTAATTGATTGCTATATATAGGATCCTTTACTTTTTGTCTATTCATAACATGTAATTTGTATGTCCTAAGTGATAGAATGTCATAGATTATATATAATTTAATCTATTTTTCTTTTAGTTTAACAGAAAATATATATTTAAAATGTGATTAAGCTACTAAAACTTTGTTATCAATCTTTATTCAAGATTTTTAAAATTTTTATTATAGACTTTTTGTATTCTTTGTGCTTATTTGATATTTTCAATGGCTTCTTTTTGTTGCTTCAAAGTTATATCTTCTATTTCGAATGTTCATTTAATTAAAGCTTCATTAAAAGATATATCTTTATCATAATAGGTTTCGATAATAGTTTTGATAATAGTTTCGATAGGAAGTTTGGCATCTCTTCTATAGATTAAAGAGAATGGTATAAATTTTGTTATACTATGCTTTATTGTTTAGTAGGCCAATAGTACAGATAGTAAGATTTGGTTCTTATTCTTTGTAATCATAGCTATTGAGTTTAGCTATTGCTTCACCTATTGTTCGATTAAATCTTTCAATCATACTATTTGTTTGTGGTTGGTATACAGAAGATTTATGATGTTTGATTTGAAAATTATTATACAATTTCTTAATTAAGTTACTTATAAAATTGGTTCCTCAGTTATTTAATAATATTGTTGGTGTTCTATATCAGCAAATTATATCTTCATATCTAAATTTTGTGACAGTTTTAGCTTTAATTTCAGAAATAACACTTGCTTCTGGCCATTTTGTTAAATAGTTCATGGATACAATAATGTATCTGTTGCCTTCTTTTGTAATTGGTAAAGGTCCTTTTATATCGATTCCTACTCAATGAAAAGGTGCTTTAACTTTGAATAATCGTAGAGTTTGTCTTCTAATTTCATTTCTTCTATGTTGGCAGATATCACAGATTTTAATATAATTTTTAATATCTCCGTATATGGTAGACCAAAAATATCTTTTCTTGGTTTTGTTATAGGTCGATTCTATTCCCAGATGAGTATCCTGCTTATCATAAAGAGCATATAATATTACATTTTTTTGGGGTTGTTTTATTACACATTGGGCTTTAGTTTTGTTTTGTCAAAATAATTATTTATTTTATATAAAGTAATTTTTACATTCTTTTTGTATTCGAAATTTGTTCAAATTAGTAGTGTCTAGTGGAAATGTTAGCTCAGATAGATATTGATATATTTCTTGATATAGTTTACTATCCATTATCTATTGAGTCTGTTATTGGTAAGTGTGAGAGGAAGTCTGCATTTTGGTTTCATTTACCAAATCAATATTTTATATCATATTGGCATTCTTGTAGAGTGAGCCACCATTGAGTTATCCTTTTATTTTCATTAAGAATGGTGTTGTTTAGTAACTATTGTAATGCTTTGTGATCAGTTATAAGTATAAATCTTGTTCTATGAATGTAATATTGAAAATACTTTATAGCCTAGATAGCAGCTAAGCATTCAAGCTTAATTGTGCTATAATTTTTTTTAGCAGGTGATAATGTTCGACTTGCGTAAGCAATAATATGTTCTCTATCCTCTTTTACTTGCAATAGTATTACTCCTAATCCCAGATAAGAAGTATCAGTAAATAATAAAAATGGTTGGTCATAGTCTAGATATTGTTATATTGATGCAGAAGTAAGTTAATATTTGAGCCAGTAAAATACTTGTTGGTGTTCATCATTCTAGTAAACTTTATATCTTTTTGTAATAATTTAAATAAGGGTGCAGCCTTTTTGGAAAAGTTTTCAATAAACTTTTGATAGTAAGATGCAAGTTCTAAGAATGCTTGTAATTTAATAAAATTTTTGAGAGATATTAACTTTGCAAGTTTTTCTTTTTTTTTTATAATTCGGCAATCCTGCCTCTGTTTATTTGAGATTAAGCTATTCAAGAATTATACATTTCTA